GGGTTTGAACCGCCAGCCGTCTGGTTAGCAGGCAAGTGTCTTAGCCACTATGCTACCAGAGCTCAGAATATCTACTTCTACTTACGGAGTATTACAAAGGAGTGTTACAAAGAATTGTTGTAGAGAAAAATTAGATCTGTAAATTCAAAAATAAGTTTCTACTAGAGCAAATAGAACATACTTCTAATAAATACACAGAAGCTATACATTGTCATTTTACATATTCAAATTAATTAGAACATTCAAATTTAAAAGATTAATTGAATTTAGGAGAAATATTCCAAAAGAATTGGATTTTCTCTAGATACAAAAACAATAAAAATTCAAGGACATAAATAAAATTGGGGAAAAAACTAATATTATTTTTAATGTCGGCTCTAAAACATTTATAATATGATAGAGAATTTACATCCAAACATTTTACAAAATAGTTTTAACAGTACCAATTTGAGAGTTATTAAATAAATAAATAAATAAATATATATATATATATATATATATATATATATACACATACACACATACATATATACATATGTATATCTATCAGAGATTGTGTCTCATCTGGGAATTATTATACTTTTAACTTAGTTTGGCCTTTTCTGCAATACATATATATGCATATATGTGTATCTATCAGAGATTGTGTCTCATCTGGGAATTACACTTTTAACTTGGTTTGGTCTTTTCAGTAATACATGAACTCATCACAATTATTTAAAAAAAAAAAAGAATTTACTCTCAAATTACTCATTCTTACAACATTAATTTATACATATATATATGGGTTATGGATTATCTTGCCTAAGAAAGTACTCATAGAGATACACAGTTGTATTTCTGATGAGGTACCTATTTGAAAATCTTATTTATATATTTTTTCATTCTGACATTAAAATTATGTCATATTTTTAAAACAGTATTTAATGTATGTAAATGCACACCAATCAAGATATAGAATGAACAAAAATTCTACTTTTAAATTTTTTTCTAAAAATCTACTATTAAAACTTTTATGGTAAATGTTTATGGATATGCTCACTCATATGTATGAGTAACTAAATGACTGATCCTACACAGAGATGATGATAGCTACCATGTTATCGAGAGTAAATTACAACTTCTCTTAACCCCTTCAAGGTAGAATAATAAATACACATTTTCTTCCTTAAGCTAGGACTATCTTTACCTAAGCTGACACATAACACAAAGCGCATTATTTTAAACCACAAATGCAATTTCTGTGCAATCTGGAAGACTGTAGCAATAAACTAACTAGCAGACCTCAGCTTACTACAAAAGAATACAACACTATTTACATATTTACATTGATAAATTAGGTTAAAACACACAGAAAATCTGAGTTTCATCTCTGCACATCAACCACTCAAACCAGAGAAGAAAAACTGGCAAGAAGTCTACCAAAATGCTGCTTTAATTATACTTGTAAAAGTTTGATTTACATATTCTTTTCTTAGTTTTCATACTTAGCAGAGTTCATTAAAATTTTATGTCTGTAAGTATAATAAAAAATTATCAATCATTCTTATTCTTTGAAAAAAATTTCCAAAACAAAATTTCCCAAATACAGGTTAACTCACAGCCTAAATTACAGTATGTTATCCACATACAGAGAAAAAATGAAATGGAACAGTCCTAAAATGTTTCTAGTAATGACAATATTTACTCACTTTGGGTTTATAATCATCTGATTTAAGCCTGAAAATCAAATAACTGATTTTTATAGACTTTCTCTTATGCAAAGGGAAAAAATATTTGACTTTTACTGAAATGTACACTGGAATTCATTTATAAGAAAATATCTCACACACACAGACACACACACACACACACACACACACATATATTGGTTTAGAACCATGAGAACACTTGCTCAACATAACACCAAGATTCTAATCACTTACCTTAACAGTGGATTTCTTTAAAGGTGCATGATGGAGTATCTTCATCTTGAGATGGACAGATGCCTTCGTTCACAGCAGGGACCTTGCCAACTTGCCCATTTAAGTCTTTTGATAAGCTGCTAGGAGATCAGGGTGACCTAGCCTTGCCCTGCAGCTTCCCTCTTAGACGGATAGTCTAGGTCTAGGAGCTGACTGAGAGTAGAAAAAACAACATTCCCCTTCAATACACTGTGGAAGTGGGGGCTGATAATTTGCACACCTAGTTTATCATGTCCACAGGACAATGTCATTGAAATTTTAGGTAATTCCAGTGGAATAAAGGAATTTCAAGGACATGAGAGAAAATCTCAACTAGTTCTGATACCTCATCCAAAACAACCTGCCAAATGAATCACAGAAACTTCTTTTCCTTAAAGCATTTTGTCAAAATGTACATTACGAGTTTTAAAAACATGGACTTCGTTACACAAGACAAAACTTTAAAACTTCCCTATGTAAAGAGAATCAAGGGAAATGAGTTAGAGATTTCTTGATCTCCAAATATACTTTTATCATTCAAACTCTTATAACCAATACTTAAGCTACTGAATGAAAACAATTAAAAAAAAAAAAAAAAAAGACTTTACCTTTTCAAGTGATTTCCCTTCCAACTGCATCAAAACTCATGTCAAAATAATGCAAACGCTATTCAAAGCAAAGTGTTAAGAGTAAATACACTGGTTTTACATGGAATGAAGTTTTAGAAGAAATCTTTAGGACCCTCCCACCCTAACCGCCCCCCAAAATCTCAAAACATTTTCATAGGAAATGTGATAAAAAGTTATATAAAAGTAGGCATGCAATTATTTCCTTCTAAACATGTGTCTGAAACTATCAAACTTTTCCCCTCAACTATTTGAGAATTTCTCTGTCCTAACGTTTGAATATTTGTGACAAGTAAAAAATGTGTTTACAACCTGTGACTACTTCGTGAAACCTTACTAGTGTATAATAATGTTCAAATATCTGGCAAATATTTTATAGTAATATGAAGAATTATTTACAGCAAAACTATACATACAAAACAAGTATGCCGTAATTTTCTTAAAGATGCACCGGCTATCAAGCTGACATTCAATTTTTCTAATTGACAAGGATCACATATGGATAATGAATGAACCAATATTTTTTTTTAAAAATTAGACACTATCATAAAACAAAAGATACTTTAACTCTAAATTTAAAATTTATTATACCTCAACTCAATTAGAGGAACTGTCTCTCCCACTCACCACTGTCCCAACAATAAATTATTTCAGGTTAAGTCTCATAAAGTATAATAAGGTAGGAGAACTCTTAAAAATGCTATAGTGCACTTAACCACTTTGACAGTACTCCTTAACTTAAACCTGAAAGAAATAAATTATAAAAATAAAAGTGCTGCTTCAACTTCCTATCCGGAGCTAAGTGGTGAGGTTGAAATTCACTGGCAGCAGAAAACTTATAATGGAAAGAAGTATTAGAATAAATCAATGCCTTACATCACCACAGCCAAATCAGACCTAAGTAAAAAGACAGGAGGCTGGCTCAGTTTACTATCTCTTCTCTCACTAATCCTTGGTTTTCACACTAAGAAATGTGAACATCATTATCACTCTAGGACTGTGGATAAAACACCCAGAATTGTACAGGGTACTTAATTGGATAAGTAAGGCACACTCACTGCCATCAAGTTGATTCTGACTCACTGCAAATCCCAGTAGGTTTCTGAGGCAGTAAATCTTTACGAAGTAGATTGCCCACTCTTGCTTCTGTGGAGTAGCTGGTGGGTTGGAACCACCAACCTGCTAATTAGCAGTCAGATGCTTTGGGCACTGTGCTACCAGAGCTCCTTAGATAATGCATATTAAACCCACATCCATCGAGTCGGATCCGACTCATAGTGACCCCTCCTTGGGTTTCCGAGGCATTATCACTATGGAGGTAGATTGGCCAATCTTCCGAGGAGTGGCTGATGAGTTTGAATCACCAAACCTTCTGGTTAGCAGTCAAGTGTGTTAGATAATGCACATTAGGTGCTATTATTTTTTACGTTTTCATTACTGTTTTCCTCATTCATATTATGGCCCATCTATATGACAGACTATATAGAAACTATACAGAAACAATGTTCCCTAATTCATGTAGAAAGAAAATCCCCAATAAATCAGACTACACAGCACTCATTAGGCTACTGAAACTAGAGTTATTTCCAAAATCACAGCTAGATCTAGGAATGCCTTTCTAGGAAATGACACACTCCACAGCAGGCATTCCAGAGGGCCATGTACGCCTATCTTTAAAATATGTAAATACAACTATAAATAAATGCTGTACTAATTAAGGGTATTCACAGGATAAATGTTTACAGTATAAGCTCCTTTAACTGATAACACTTTTCAAAATAAAGATTATTTTCCTCTTCATATAATTTGAACTTTTCCAAACTCCTATCTAGATCAGAGTAGCCTAAAATAAAGGTATTTTGGAGACTTTTTATGAAGACTAGAACAGGGGCTGGTAAACCATGGCTCATGGGCCAAGTTCAGCTCACCACCTGCTTTTGTAAATAAAGTTCTATTGGAACACACCATAAGGAACTCTGGTGGTACAGTGCCTAAGGCCAACCAGACAGCTGGCAGTTCAAACCCACCAGCCACTCCATGGAAGAAGACAGGGCAATCTAGTTCTATGAAGATTTACTGCCTTGGAAACCCAAAGGGGGGGCTCAAGAGTCGGAATCGACTCAATGGCAGTGGGTTTGGGTTTTGGAACACACTATGTCCATTCATATATGTATTATCTATGGCTGCTTTCACACTATGACAACAGAGTTGAACAGCTGTGATAGAGACTATTTAGCTTAAAAATTTATTTATCATCTCGCCACTGATGAAGAAAGTTTGACAATGTTTTAGAGGACCCCTGAAATCTGAGATCTGTATTCAAAGGCAATTTCAGTAAACCTGGAAATACCATAAATATTAAAGTAATAAACATGAAGGTACCCCCTTCCCTCTTATCTCCAAATTCAGTAAATTCAGAGTAGCTTCCCCAAATAATTTCATCTGCTGGTAAAAGGACTATGAAATACAAAGTTAAAAATATGTAATTATAATAAGGATACTTCTTTCCTAAATAATTCTACTTTTAAGACTCAGGACCCATATACACACACAAAACCACACTTTTGTATGTTTTTTAAAGCCCACCTTCCATTACATATTCTGATATTAGTTTATTGATTCTTCTCATCTACCATTCTATTTGGGAGTTCACTTATGATCTTCAATAGATGTAGTTAATAAAACTTTAAAGATGTGGTTCAAATCATAAATGACATGACAATACTTTCAAAAAACAGTCCCTGATAAAAGATCCAAACCAATAGGATGAGTAACATTTGAGGAGTATCTATTAGATCTAGGCTATCTATTCTCTCCATATTATACATAATCAATGATAACCAGGTGTTAAGGAATACATACTGTGGTAGTTCACTTTGTGTGTCAATTTGGCTGGGCCTGGTTGAGTGGCTGGGCAGCTGATGGTAGTTATTCCCCATGATGAGACTGGCAATCAACTCCATGGAGGGATCTACCACAAGCAGATGAGTAACTGTCTTTGGGATGTGGTCTGCTTTCCGTATATAAGGAGAAGCTTTGGGAATGGTCTCTAGCTTATGGCACCTTGAACCCTGCATGCAGCTATGTCATTGTTCAGCAGCCTGCCATACTCTGCCGACCTTGGGACTTACAATGGACTTGAATTAATGGCCTGCCGTGTGATTTGGTAATAAAGACTGTGCCTTGTTACTTGTCAACCTTGGGCTTGACAGACTCAGCAGCCAGCAGCTGTCTCAGTGAAGAAAAGCCTCTAGCTGCAGTGGGCTGGGAGCTGGAGGCAGAGCTGAAGCCCAAGGCTGAGGAGCTTTCACCAGCCCCTAGATCTTGGCACTTTGAACTTGGACTTAAAGCCTCCAAACTGAAGAATAAACTCCTGTTTGTTTAAGCCATCCCATTTGTGGTATATTCTTGTCAGAGTGGCACTAGGTAACCAGAACACATACAGAGCAATTAATTTTCCAGAGTAAGCATATATTCTATTAATTAAAATACATATTTTAATGAGTCATACACAATTAAATGTAATGAAATAACTTGGAAATGGGATTTAAAAATCACTTTGCCTACCATTTGCCAGTTTTTCCTCTCAATTCACTTTAACAAATTGTATATAAGTAGAAATATTATCGATGAGCATCAAGAAAAATTGCAAAGAAATCATGAAAACACAAAATGGTTAGGAAGAAAAATACTGTATCTTTATATAATTTTCTGTCACAAAACCAAATGATATAAAGAGACCAAAAAAGAGCTACTGCATAACCCATCAATGTTACTAAACTTGTAAGCACTCTTTGTTGTTGTTTGTTGTTGTTATGTGCTATCGAGTCGGACGTGACTCATAGCAACCCCTCTTGGGAGTTCCGAGGCATTATCAGTACAGAAGTAAATTGCCCAAACTTCCTCCTGAGGAGTGGCTGGTGGGTTTGAACCTCCAGCCTTCTGGTTAGCACTCTCTACTATACACACACAAAAAAAACCTCCACATTTTTCCAGTACCTACTATTCTTATGTGTAAGCTACTTTCTAATCTGAACTATATTAACAGTAATATTTGTGGACATTACTTGAAAACTAGGATAATAAAATTTCCACAACTATCTCATTATTTCAGTCAAGCTTATTAATATAAGAATCTGCTTCAAATATAAGTTATAAACTTCAGAAACTCTATTATCAACTTTGACTGTTTACTATATAATTAAAATAACATGACCATTAAAAATTATGGTTAGATCACTCATATCACTATATATTATGATTTTTCATTTCATGAATAAACCTAAATCATGTAAAACAGTGACAATAGCAAATTTAAGAAATACAGGCAGAGAAAATTTTATGCTTTTACAATTACATAAAAATAAAGTTATAAAATTTTAAAAGCTGAAAACCTTAAATATATATACTCTGCAAACTGATCTGTTTTATGGATTTTTTGACCTTATATCAACACAGAAGTGCTTTAAATAATGACATATAGAGATACTTCAATGATTCAAAATTTTCCCTGGACTTTGTGCTGCTCAAGTTAATAACTAAAACTGTATTTTCTATGTTTTCAAGGAACTGTAACATGAAACCTGTTAACACATAAAATAAAATAGACCTTATAATAGATCCTAAACATTTGTTTTTACTAATATTACTTTTACATTTTCTAAATTCAATGTATTCAAAAGACACCTATGTGGACATTTTGTTTCAACATCAAAACAAATACTTAAAACAACAAGAATTCAATAAATTCAACAAAACATAGTTCTAGTAAACTATGTAAGAAACAAACAAACAAAAAAAAAAACCCATGCTCATATTTTAAGCACTTACCATACTACTAATCATAAAACAGAGAGAAACAACAGACACAAAAGAATGCAAAAATTGAATCCCAAATTTCTTATTAAATAATTTGGGCTGAAAACTTTATTACTATCAAACAACTTTACCCTTGGAAACAGAATATGAACCAACACAGTAAGCACTTGAAAAATGTTTCAAAATGTGAATGGCATTTTTTTTTCTAAAGATAAATAATGGAAGAGGTACAGCAAATGGATGCAGAAAATTCAAGTGGTTTGTGTAAATCCATGGCGTAAATTATAGAAAAAATAAAGCATGAGCATTTCCCCACTCACCTAGCCCACCTGCCTGTGGTCTTTCATAAACCAATCACAACCCCCCACAGGTGGACAGGAGACCTTGCCTTTCACCTACAATACTGAGGACTTTGCTGCCTTCTTTCTTCCCAGTAGCACACTGGTATCCTGTTCTTCAACCACCTAAGTGTCAGTTTGCCAGAGGATAAAAACAAAGTAGTAAGGCAAAGAGAATGAAAAGGGAAAAAGAGGGAAAGGACTAGGCGAAGAAAGGAAGAAAGGAAAATATATGTCCTCAGACATTAACAGGATCTTACTGGCTTCGCTGTCTTAGTGCCTTACCCAAGCCTAATCTCTCCAGAGGAAATCCTCAGTTCTTGTCCTGACTGCTCCCAGAGTCTCAGGAATCTCGCCTTCAGGGCCTGGAGAAGACTGAGTCCACTCCCAGCAAGTCAAATTAAATTCTGAATGTGTTTTGCACTAAAACTGTTATATAAAGTGACTAACTTCTATCCCTGTAACTCCTAACCTTGTTAAGCCTTTCTCCTTTTGAAAATATGAATTATAGAGAAAAACAAGAGCTGTAATCCTCTAAATGTTACATAATTTCACTGGATTCATGGACTTTGGCCAACGAGTCCTTCTTCCTCACAGTATTATCAATACTGAATTTTAGTATCATTACACATTAAATTTTTCCCTGCCAGCCCAGGGCTAAATCCCATGCAGTATTTTTTCTAAGGGAAACTAGATTCTGATTTTAAAGCAATGGCTTTATAAAGAGTTCTCAAACACAATCCTATCACAACATATATCAATGTATTTCTATGTTAATTGTCTTCAGATATATCACAAATTTAATACTTTTAAAAGTCTTTTTCATGCTAACCAACAGGTGTCACCCTTATATTACAAAAAAGAGGGCAAAGCTATTATATTACTATTCCAAACATATGAAACTAGTTCTAGAAAGTATTCTAATTGCAGGAATTTTTACTACTTATAACTCAGGAAAGAAAACAAAAAATGTGTATGATGTTTAATGAATAAGCCGCCTTCTAGTAATAAAAATGATAGTGACATAAAATTATAAAGGTTATTTCATACACTGATAATTAACTATAGAGATGTATACAGAATTACAATTACAGCATATAATCATTTTCCTAACCATTTTTCCTTAATTTGTATAGCACATTAATTTTTGCTATGTTCAAATTAGCAATTCAAAGTCAATAATAAAAAATAATGTTGAGAAATAGGTGTTAAACATATAATTTGATCAAGTGCTTTCAACCCAAACTACAGATGGGAATACTTACTTATCAAAGCTATCACTATTTTTGATGAAGCTCTCCAGCTTTTCCTTGGCATATTCCACAACATCTGAATGAAGCTCAATCCCATGATTTATTCCAAAAGGACCTGAAATCGTAGCAGCAGCATTTTTATAAAATATTAATAATGTACCTTTACAGAGCTTTTAATTTCTGCTCACATTATCTACCATAGGATCATTTATGGAGAATCTGAAATATGTGACTACCTAACTGAAGTTTAATGGAAATTTTACTGTTTACACTGCTTTTAAAAATAAATGTTCCACTCAGTTTCCTATCAAAAAGCACTACTATGCAGAAGGATGACACCTGCAGAGCTCAGGTCAAAGGAGCAGCTTATCCAACAGGACTCTACTGTCAAGAGAACAATAATTCTGTGTGAATTTTAAGTTCTTTACCAATATATTCGTATTTATCATTACCTTAAAATTCAGAAACTGTAAAGTTCCTGGAATCATGGATTTAATAGATCACACATCACACCCCTCTCCAGTAAGTGCTAATTCTTTGAGCAGGAAAACTACACTATTAGTCGTTTGGAACTTTCACCCAAATCACAATTTAAAAAAGAAAAAAAGAAGAAAACTGCACTACTAGTCTTTTAAAGTTCCCCATGTCCAACAGCCTGCAAGCTAGCACTACTGGCCAGGCTGACTTTATTCCTGTTCCAGTTAATTTCCCACTTCTCCCATGACATTCTTCTCCATTCTTTTTGAACAGAGTCCAGGATCAAGGAGAATTTTCTCTGCCTCATGAGATTATCTTCAGATAACTGCTTTCCCCACCTTGGAACCAATACACGGACCATTTCCCAAAATTTAACACTACTGCCAGCCCTATGTCCCAAATGAAAGCAATATACAATCTCATCTAGTTATACTAGTTCCTTTTGAACTTCTGAAATTCAGCCTATCAGGTTTTCCTCACTCGACATTTTTGCTACACTTTTGTTTTACTGAGACTCATCTCTCAAGAAAACCAAGTATTATTTTTCTGTCTTTGGGAACTAGTTATGTGACCCCTACCAAATGTCATTAAGTACACACTGTACACTGGAGGTGTTTCTATGAACTTCTAAGTATTTTGAAATAAAAAAATCACACATTCATACATGAACATGTATGAATGTTCAAACGGCCCATGAAAAAATTACTTTGTGATTCAGGAAATACTCAATTTATAAAAACAAATAAAAATGATCAGATACTGTCTTCAAGCCAAAATCAGCTAAAGACAATGCTATAACCTGCCATACTTATGCCATTTCTATTTGATTGGTATTCCTCAAGAAACTGCCTGAATTCTCCCTTAAAAAAAATGTATTCAAATAAAAAAGCTCTGGTTTCACCAACACAAAGCAGACAGAATCATATTTCTTTGCAATGTTACTATACTTTTTAAAAACACACAGTTCTCAATGATGTAATTTTCAAAATGTCCTGTTCCTCATTTCTTGTTTCCTTACACTTGACCTGTTAACCTATACCTGAATATGGGACATCTGTCCAGTATCACTTAAGGCCTCTTGTAATTGTTTTATTATCACCATAGGTAAATTGAGTAAAAATGAAACATTTATCTTTTCTTTAAAAAAAAAAAAAACACTGGAAAAAGAAAACTTAGAGAAGCATGCAGAGTGACATCAGTTTTTAATTTAGTGATAAATCTGAGTGTTTTGAGAACTTGCATTACTACAGTGGTCAACACATAGAATGTTAAGAAAATTGAGTAACATTTTCCTCATCTGAAAAATTGACATTAGACTACTGCTATTTAACGTTACAGACAAGTTAAGGAAAATACTGTTCTATAAAATTAAGTCTAATTTCTAACCCTTTAAGATATTCTATTGAATATAAAATTTTCCTATTTTCAATATCCATTAAGAACCTACTTGTAGGAGCTCTGGTGGCATAGTGCCTAAGGCATTTGACTGCTAACCAGAAGGCTGGTGGTTCAAACCCACCAGCCACTCCTGGGAAGGAAGGTTGGGCAATCTATTTCCGTGGTGATACTGCCTCGGAAACCCAAGGAGGAGTTGCTATGAGTCAGATCTGACCCGACAGCAATGCGTTTGGTTTTCTGTTTTTGCAGTAATCAAGTATTGTTATGGAAAAAGAAAACGAAGGTTATACACATAGAGATCAATAAAAAGAGTCACTAGGGCTAGCATTCTGAAATTCCTGAGAATGTATACACAAGCATGTTAAGAAATCTGGCAATATGAGGAAGTAAGACTTCTAGTCAATACTTATACTGGCTTTTCACTGAAAGCCTCTATTTCAGAGTTCTAGATCCAAAGGGCCTAGGTAGACTGTACTTCACTTAAAGTCATCATTAGTCTCTTTTTCCTTTACTTGTCTTCTGTTTAGTCTCTTTTTCCTTTACTTGTCTTCTGTTTACTGCCTAAAAGCAAAGTGGCAACTTCTAAATTTAAGGTTGGAAGTTTGTTAAAATTTCATTAGAATATCTTTCATGTAACAACAAAAGTCTGACATAAGATGATTAATCATAAAAGATACAAAATATAATTTCATTAAGATACACAGGATTTGTTTGACAAATGGTATAATAAACATAAATATAAAATAATACTATGCACTAACATTTAGGGCAAGACACTATTTATGATTTTTTTAAATGATGGAATCATTTAAGTTACACCTGAAGACGTATCTTTAATTTCATTATTTATTTGAGTATTATAATAATTAACATAATGAAAACAATAAATTAAAAAGAGAAATATATTAATAAAAGGTGTCATCAACATCTCATTATTTAGAACATTATACACTAGAACATATCAAGTATCTGATAAAAAATGTAATGCAAGTCTGATTTTTACAACTCATATAGAACATCTGCATTGAAGAGAACAACAGGAAAATAAAGCACAGGAAACTGAAAAGGCAGACACTGCTGTTTCTAGGGAAGGTACTCAATGTTCTATAGTGGCAAGGAGGCAGATTCATCAGCAAACCCATTTGTCTAATGTGTGTCTTAACCATAAGCATGCATACCTTTTTCAATCAAAAAATACGCTGCTAGAGAAAAATCAAAATAATAGAAGTATAATATTCTCAGATAATAAAATAAATCAGTAATAAAGTAATTCTGCTAGAAAGGAACAAGTCATCAGTGGAAAAAAATGAAAGAATATCTGAACAGAAGATGTTAACAGGCAAGATGAAGTATAAACTTGACTTTGTAATCAATGGATTCCAATGTTATTTTGTATTTGCCAGTAGAGAGATTTTTCTATAAGATACTCTGGGCTTAATTTTCATAATATATATTCTTAAAAAAAAATAAAAAATATTAACAGTTGACTACTATTTTTAACAGCTAGATACTAAACAGGAAATAGAAACATACATAAAAGTCAAAGCTTATTCAAACAAATGTTGTTGTTGTTAGGTGCCATCGAGTCGTTTCTGACTCAAAGCGACCCCATGCACAGCAGAACGAACACTGCCCGATCCCATGCCAGCTCCATGATCCTTGCTATACTTGAGCCTGTTCTCGCAGCCACCGTGTCAATCCATCTCGTCGAAGGCCCTCCCCTCTCTCACTGACCCTCCACCTTACCAAGCATGACATCCTTCTCCAAGGACTGGTCCCCTCTGACAACATGACCAAAGTAGGTGAGACGAAGTCTGGCCATTCTCGCTTCCAAGGAGCATCTCGGCTGCCCTTCTTCCAGGACAGATCTGTTAGTTCTTTTAGCAGTCCATGGTACTTTCAGCATTCTTTGCCAGCACCACAACTCAAAACCATCAACTCTCCTTCGGTCTTCCTTATTCACTGTCTAGCTCTCACATGCAAAAAGAACTGGTCGACCTTCATCCATTTCAAGAGGTGGCATATTATCTAGAACCAATGGTACTTAAGGAGGAAGTCAAAGCTGCAATGAAGGAACTGGCAAAGAACAAGGCTCCGGGAATTAATGGAATACCCACTGAGATATTTCAACAAATGGATGCCACACTGGAGGCACTCACTCGGTTATGCCAAGAGATTCGGAAGACAGCTACCTGGGCCATATTTGTACCCATTCCAAAGAAAGATGATCCCACAGAATGTGGAAATTATCTAACAATATCATTAATATCACACACAAGTAAGATCTTACTGAAAATAATTCAAAAACGGCTGCAGCAATATTTTGACAGAGAATTTCCAGAGGTGCAAGGTGGATTCAGAAGAGGACGTGGAACAAGGGATTCAAACACATAGTTACTGGGAAAAAAAAACCTAGGCATCCTCTGCAATACCAGTAATGATTTTTAAGGCAGGCAAAAGCCCATTTATTTATAGTAATAATAAATATAATGAAATTCCAGTAAAATGAAATTTAGATGCTGTTTTTCTTTTGTAGCAACTTGATCTAATAATCTAGCTCATTTATTAGTTTGTTAGCTTATTAGTCAACAATCAAAGCTTACACATAAATGCTAGTAATTAGATATCCAATATGCATGTAATGGCTCTATTTCTTATTTACATTGATGTTGACTCCATGTGACACTCAGTATTTATGCCCCACTGCCTGCTCTGAAGCCCCTAAGAAAGCTATATGAAAGTGATGAATGACAAGTCTCCTAAGGTAAATCAGACAAACTTTAGAACTTCACACTACATTTGAATGAAGCTCTCTGTGTATTTCGTGTAAAGCCAATTTATACAACTCAGCTACAGGCAAAAGATACTTCATTAATACATAACTGAAAGAGCTGCAAACTAATTTTAAATTGGTAAATGTGTTACATATGTTTTTACCACAATTTTTTTTTGTTTAAAGATAAATTTAAGATCCATCATTTCACTTGAAGGCTGTGAGGTCTAAAATCTGGTTCAGTGAGGAAAAATAGTGGATTTAGGATCAGATGTCCTGGTTTCCAATCCTGGTTCCTCCTCTTAGCAGTTGGGTAACATGACATTAGTTGCTTATTGTTTGAAGACCACTACCTAATCTGTAAAATTAGACAAGATATCTACCCTACCTGCCTCTCAAGGTCCCTTCAGGGCTAAATCTATCAAGTTATTACTGGAGGGAAAACTGTAAAATAGAGAAGAACGCAACAC